GGCGGCCCTGGCTCCCACTGGGCCCCCTCTTAATCCTCCCGCTCAGCCTCCCTTTCCCTGACGCCCCTTTTTCCTCTAATGCTGCCCACACCCTGTGACGGTCATTTTATTAAAACCCTTTAACTGCAAGTGCACTTTCTAGGTGACGTTCGGCATCAGCTTGTACCCTACATATCCGGTACAGGATTGATTGTTGAGTCACTTTGCTAAATTCTTATTTCTAACCATTTGTAGAGTCGTGTGGGTTTTTCTATGTGATAATCATAGCACTTATACATAGTTTCTCCCCTTGACTGTGTTTTGCTGTTTTCCTGTAAGTTTGTAAGACCTCTTAATAAATTTAGACTAGCAGCCCTGTTATCTATCTTGAAGACGTCTTGTTTTGTCATTGTCTTACTATTGTTCAGACAGAACTTAAGAAGATCAAAATACATGGATCATAAGTATACAACTGGATGGTTTTGATACATTTATATGCTGGTATAACCACTTTACCCTAATCAAATACATAATCTTTCCACACCCCTTCCCAGGAAGTCAGTCCCCTCCTGGCCCCTCCAGGCTCCACCCTCATTTGAGTCTTACACTGTTCATCTCTTACTTACTGATCCTGCATGCCATCTACCTTTTCCATGCAAGCCCTAATACCTCATTGTTACTTAAAAATTCCTTGTCAGATAGTCTAACGTCTGTGTCATATCTGAGTCTAGTCCTATTGATTGCTGTGTCTCTTGGCAGTAAATGAGGTTTTTGTTCCTTTTCACAGACTTTGGCACCTGTTGTTGAAAGCTGGAAAGTATGTGACAACAGCAGATTGGGCTAGCTCCTGTCCCTCTTCCAGGCCCCCAGCGTGGGAGTTGCAGTTGATTCAGTCGGGCTAGATGTGAGGTTTGTTGTGTTCTGATCAGCTTCATTGCGCACAGGCTGGACATTTCTCTAGGACATCCTGGATGGGGGAAGGGTGGCTGGTCTGCCCGCTGTGCCCGCTGTGCCCGCTGTGCCGGGGGCGGGGTCCCCCACACTCTCCAACTGCCTGTTGGTTGCATATTGGTTCTGTATGACTCATTCCTCGGTGCTTGGCAGCCTGGTGGAAGGGGTCGGGGAGAATTCATTGCTCTCCTCAGATTCGGCCTTGGGCAGGCATGACATTCCTGCCTCTTAGGCATTTTAATATTTCTGTCCTTTCCCCAAATGGCTAAAGTCTTGTTTTCTGTTCCTTTCTCCCATCTGGAGTGGGCTTCCCTAGGTCTCTGAGGGTAACGGGGCTTGCTGCTGATTCCCTTTACCTCAGCCCCCAGAAAAACAGCCGGTAAGAGGGTGGGGACTTCCTGCACTGTGCCCCAGCTCCACGCTTCTCACCAGTTCACGTACAGCCTCCTCGGTTTCCCGACTCTTCTGGCTGAATTCTAACTGGCAAGAGTTTGCAGCTCTCTCAGCCCCTGCCTATCTCTCTGCACATTTGGGGCCAGCTGATGGTCCTGTGGCTTCGGCCTTGGGGAATTCAAGAAATATCATGAACTTGCAGTTTGTCAGCCTTTCTTGCTGATTTAAGGCTGAGAATGATGATCCTAGGGACGTGTTTTGAAAGACAAATAATTTTATTATTAAACAAAATAGATTTTTAGTCAATCAAATATATCAGTGCTTTCTTTTGCATCTCTTCCATCACATCCCGCTACCATTTTGAAACCTAAAATATCTACTAGTACGTTAAAGTAAGGGACCCTGTAACCTTTCCAGTAAAAACTCTTCTGATACTCAAGAAATGTGAATGACAGCCTACCATTTATTGCTGTTCAGGTGCTGTGGTGACATCAGTGAACAAGGCATGTATGCACACACACACACACACACCGCACAAGGAGATGGAAAACAAAAAATTAAAAAATAAAAGAAACTGCCATGGAGTAGATCTGAAACATCTCCAAAAGGCTTTTGTGTTGAAGGCTGGTCTCCACCGTGGAGATACTCAGAGGTGGCAGAAACTTTCAGAAGTGTTTGTCAACGGGGGCATGCCCTTGAAGGGTACTCTGGGACCTGGGGCTCTTCCTTTCTCTCTTTTGCTTTCTCTTATCACAAGCTGAGCGGTTTTGCTCTGCTTCCTGCTGTGATGTGGCACCGCAGGTCCAAAAGAAAAGGATTAATCAACCATGGAATGGAACTTCCAAATTATGAGCCAAATAAATCTTTTATATTAGTTATCTCAGCTATGTAACAAAGAGTTGATGAGTGCACAAACATGAAAAGTTATATATTCTGCTAGAAGATATGAAATAAAGAAAAGAATAAAGAGAACAAGGTATCAAGGTAGAAAGTGCTAGTGAACATTGCAGAAAGACAGTGGTTTTAAACAATGTGCCCAAAGTAGGCCTCATGGAGAAAGATTTGAACGGAGTTAAAGGCAACAAACTGAGCCCTGTGGATACCTGGGGGCATGTCAGGTTTCAGTGCTACATCACAGTTAGGGTACTGTAGTGGCCTTATCAGAGTTTCTGTGAGCCAGGAGCTCAGGCACTGCACGGCTGCCTAGGGTCTTACAAGGCTGTGATTAAGGTGTCCTCTAGGCTGCATTCTCCTCTGTGGGCCTGACTGGAGGAGGAATCCAGCTCCCGCTGACAGCAGGCAGAATTATTTCCCTAAGTTACAGGGTGTATGGAACTTGCTTCTTCAAAACAGCCAAGGGCAAGTCAGCTGGTAAGATGGAGTCTCATAAGACCCAGGTAATCATGGGAGTGACATCCAACCACCTCCACCATATTCTATTCCTTAGAAGTGAGTTACAGTTTCCATCCACACTCAAGAGAGAATTATACAAGGATGTGGCACCAGGAGATCCACCTTAAAATCCACCTGCCACACTAGAGAAGAATATTGAGGCAGATGCTGAACCCAGTGTTCAGAAGGTTCTTGCTGGAGATGCACATTTTAGGGTCGTCAGCATACACAGTACGTGGCATTTGAAGCAATGGAATTGAGAATGTGGACAGACAGATGGGGGGGGGGGCTGAACCCTGAGGCACTCTGGTGTCAAGGGTGAGATTACTGATGGAGACTAAAGATGTGGTCTTTGAGACTAGCGGAAAAACAAGAGGCTATGGTGTCCTGAATGCCAGTGCAGAGCGGTGCTAGGAGGAACTACCACTATATTTATGTAACAGGGACCTAGTGGCTGAACTTGTGGATGCCCACTGGGTAAATAAAAGGATAAGCCACGTGCGGTGGTGCACATCTGTAATCTTAGCACTCGGGAGGCTGAGGCAGGAGCATCATCAGTCACGAGTTCAAGGCCATCCTGGACTACAAAGCAAGACCCCACCTCAAAAAAAACTAAATAAACACAGGATAAAGCTTGATATCTTCTACCTTCATGTCTCTTTTATTGCCTTAAAACTTTGGGACAGACCCTTGTTTGGCTCCACACAGAAGCATGTTAATTGCTTAGTGAGTGTCTGCATTATAAAGGTTATTAACCCTAAAAATACCTAACCTATCTCATCCCTCTTCAAGACTGAGGATGCCCAGATAAGTGTAATTAATTTCCAGGATTTGCAGGAGCATCCAATTATCAGCCTTTATAACATCCAGTTCCACACCACAAGCAACGCCTAGAAGTCTCCGGACAGCGTCCTAAGCCTGTAATCGCGTTCCTAGAAAGGCAGAGCCTCGTAGCTACTCCATGATAAGATCACCTCCCCAGCAGAGGCAGTCATCTCACGACTAAAACCAAAGCTGCCACCTCCCAAACAAGGACAATCGCCTCACAGGAAGAAAATTGCCCTCAAACCGTGAGGGTCCCACTGGAGCTATGAAGCGAGGACGAGGCCACAGTCCCGTGCGCCCACCACATTGCCCCACAAAAGGGGTCCCACTTCCTTTGCAGGCAGGCCAGTGCAATCCACCTCCTCCGACCTGCACCCCCTGCCCGCCCTCAACCTGAAGCCCTTTCCCTCTCTCTTCTCACTTTCCTTTGTTAGGGGGCTGACTTGATATTGTCAGAGCCTGCCCCTTCCCCTTCATCTTCTCTTATTTTCCAATTAAAGCTTTTTTTATATAAACTCTTGCTGAAGTCCGCATTTTAATTTCCACTATCACTGGAGCCATGGACCCACATTAGCCGGTGATTAGCAAGTCCGTGTGAGTGGGAACTGAGAATTGACTGACAAGGGTTCAGCGCAGCAGGTGGGCCGGGGTCAAGTCGTTGTAGTCCTCCAGACATCTTCCAGCTCTGCGAACCTGAAGAAGCACCCGTCTGCTCTGCCTCTCTCCAGGCTGCATCCTAAGGACTGAGGTTAAACCAAGGGCCGGTGTGATCATTGGGCTCACTGCGATCTGCTGATGAAGCCACTAAATACTCCAACTCTCCCTGCTCTAGCGGATCAGACATCAGCAGGTGTGGATCCTATAGCTAACCCCGGCCAGGTGTCCGGCCCTGTCCGACTCCTCCGAGGCCCAAGATCTGGCCATTTCCATGGTCCAGGGAGTAGGGCGGTCATGCTTGGAAACACGCAGACAGCTGGGTGGAGGGCCATTTCTCCCTGTTTGTGGCTCAAGGCAAGAGCTACTGCGCGTGCGCCCCTCAGGCTACTGAGCCACCCCCTCCAGCCGGGAGCGCGCGTGCGCAACGGAACTGGAAGGGGCGGAGTCGGAGGGGCGCTTGCGCAGTGGGCGCACCGGGGCGGGGTGCAGCGACTGTCAGCTGACTGAGGCGGCTGCAGTTTCGCGGGGACAACGGTCGGCTACGCAGGCTGCGCGGGGGCGGAAGAGCTCTCCCGGCGCGTCACTGTCGGGTCGGCGAGGCGCGGGGCCTGGCGCAAAACTATGGCGACCACTGTCAGCACGCAACGCGGCCCGGTGAGGGGGGGGCGGCGACCTGTGGCGGCGCGCGGGCGTTGTGCCGGCCTTGTTCCCTCAGCCGCGCGGGTCGCGCGGCTCCGGGGCCCACGGGCCCGGGACTGGAGCGGGAGTCCCGGGGCGGGGCGGGCCTGACCGGCTTGGAGCGGAGGCGGCCGGAGCTGCCGCCCTCGGGTCCCCCAGGAGGAGGGGGACCCAGCCCTGATGGTCCCCAGGAAGAGGAGGTTTCCTGCCGTGATTATCCGTCAGGAGGAGGAGGGCTCCCGCTCTGATGGCCCTTAGACGATGAGAGTCCACAGCCCTCATCGTCCCCAGGTGGAAGAGGGTCCCCAGGTAGAGAAGGACCCCCACCCCTCATTGTCCTCCAGGAGAAAGAGGGCTCCCGGCTGTGATCGTCCCCAGGTGGAGGAGGCATGGCCCTGATTGTTCCTAGGTGGAGGAGGCCGGAGTTTGAGTGGTCACCTCCATGGGTATTACATTCCGTACCCCAGATGAGGCAATTTCCTCTCCATCTCCCGCACAGAGCAAGGGCCATGAGGACCATTTCTGGGGCCCAGTTAGTGGTCCCTGTTCAAAGCTTCAGTTTCTTCATTTGCAAATGAGAGAGAACCATGAGCTTGGAGGACCCTTCCAACTGGAGTTCCTCCTGAGGGGTTGTCTAGGTTTCCACTGTGATCCTGTCTGCCCCTACAGGAAGGCTGCTGGTGTGAGTGACCTCCTAGGGTCTCCCTGAGTCAGGGCGGGGTGGGCTGCTGTGAGCAATGGCTAGGTGTGCAGTGGGTGAACAGGCCCTTCTGCCCACACTGTAGAGCCCTGTCCCTGGAGTCCAGCGATGAATGTACTTGAGAAGCCCATAGTGACTAGGACTCCTCACCCTTAAGGTTGGGTGTTGACAATCTTATTTCTCCTATGCGTGAAGATTCCTTAACATAGATTCTTCTGAGTTTGGGAAAGGTACTTTTTTTGAAGACTGAAGCCCACCTCCTGGCTTATCACACTTGGTGTGGCTGCTTTCTAGAGAGAGAGTCAGGGTTGCTTCCAGTGTTCAGTGTTTCTATCTCTTTGTCTTTAGTCCATCCCAGGGAACTATAGCAAAGATTGGTTGTGTCAGCAGACCAGACAAACAGGGGAGCTGGTGCTTCCCTGTCTTCATATTTTCTGCAGAACAGAGTGTGTAAGAGGCAGGACGGCCCCTTCCTCACCATGGGGTATAGGTGTCCTGCTTTCTGGGAACAGCCTCTCAGCTGGTGTGGGACTGAATTTGCATTCATGAGGTGGTGTGCTCAGTGTGGCAGGCGGGCTGTCAATCAAGGTAGGTCTTCCCTGTTGCTGAGGAAGGCTGTTTCTGGTGCTGTGGCTATGCAGAGCTGGAATAAGTTAGGTGCTGTGATGAGTGATTGGGAGCGTCAGATAATGTTCAGACTTGTGGGATCTGTGGTGCCAAGTTCTGACGTTTGACCTAACTTTCTGCCTGTCCAGTATTGCAGGGATCATGTGGTCACGTATTTTCATTACAGGCAGATGAAGAAGTATTTTAAGGGCACTCTTGGTGCCCTGTAAGCGAGGTAACATTGGGTTTGGGGTTTAAGAAGGTGCCAGCAGCTGGGGTCTTGAGCTCCACTTGGGGTACATGTGACTTATCCATTGAGCAGTGTGAGTGAGCATAATGTCTAGGGCCGTTGTGATAAGTCAGCTTGGCAGGTGTGCGACTTAGGAACAGCTGCATTTGGTAGCTCAGGTGAGCCAGGCAGTGGCAGTTATCATCAGATCTGTGGTCTAAATCAAATCAGGTCCTGTGAGTTTGTTCCCTGGGCTGGGAACAAACTCACACCTCTTTGGGGCAGTTCATCCACCCTGAGACTTGAAGGAGGAACAGGAGTGTGGGGTGGGCCAGGAGGGCTACCATTGAAAGCAGAAGGGTTTGAAGATGGAGAAGGATGCTGGGGCTGCATATCCAGGTAGAGAACTGTCTCTTGACCTTTATCTAGGAATTACACACTTGCTTGACATTTTGGAGCGGGACACACCCTCTTCAGTTTCCACCTTTCCCACCAGCTGCTTCACTTAGAATGACTTGGCTGCAGCCCCTCTGGATTCACTAACATTCACAAAGATCTTTTGGCCAGTTGTTGGGATCTAGGAGAACTACTGTTGCCAGGATTCATTGCTGTTTACCCCTTCTGTACTTTTTCTGTTACATTTGTGGAGCTGGGGAAGTATGATACACAAGGTGTTGGACTTCCAAACGGAAAGAACCTGTGCTCAGCAAGTGTATTTGGTCACTGCTGGGCCCTGGAAGGCAGCCTCCTCCATGTCAGCACCTGCCAGAGTTAGACCGCAGCCCAGGGTCCCCCATCCTAGGATCCTGGCCCAGCCTTGAGCAGCTAACTGAGGTTGACCGTTGCCCCCACGGTGAGGAAGGTGTGGCAGAGAAGGCACTCTGACTGGGTCTGGGAGGGAGCTCTGTCCTTAGTTAGGGACTCCTGGGGTAGGAAGCAGGGCTGGAGAGGCCTCCCCCACAAGCAGCTCAGACCCAGCTGTGAAGGAGTTGAGTCTTTGGTCCAGTCAGCAGAGCCAGTGCAGTTCTTATTCTGGGAGCTGTAGTGCTTCCATCTTCAGGATGTTTTTGCTGCATCCTGCGCTGTGTCCGCCTTTTGAAAAATGCTAATGTTTTAGAATTAACACCTTTTTTCTACAGATGATTAAAAAGCACTTGATGGGTTCCCATAGTGAGTGACTGGGGGGCCCTGACCTCACCTCACCTCACCATGGGGACATAAGCTGCAGCTGAGGTATTACGCCTCGCCGGTCCTGTGGCTGGAGGCTGTGTCAGGGGCAGGCAGCATTTCCAGCGGTGCTCACTCGTGGGTGTGTGCCATGTAGAGTCCTGCTTTTGGAGGTGCCAGGTGACAGCAAGCTGGGCCAAGGCAGCCCGCCCTGCCTTTGCCCCTTGCTGTCTCTTGTCCATGAACCTGTCAGTCTGGAGCGTGTTTGGTGCCGGTTGCTGAACCAGTGCCTGCATTAGGGATGGCAAGGGGTGATGTTTGCATTTGGTCATCTGTTCCTGTTCCTTCACTGTGTGAAGATAAGCTTCTGTTCAGCAAGTCTGTCTGGTTGCTCCTCAGTAGAGAGAAGGACAGATGCCAGGTTCTTTGCCCTTACTCACCAGGGACAGGGGAAGGAGTTTCTGTAGAGTTTATGTTGACTTCCCTCTTTTGAGTATTACTGTGAACCTGTGATTTTCATGCCTCCACATCTGAGTCAGTGAGTGGCCTGTGCATGTGCTCCTGCTCTGCATCCCCATGAATGTCTGGTTCTTCGATTCTGGGCAAGATTACCTGTGAATACAAGTGTCTCATTACTGTGTCTCCTGTAAATCAGACTGCAGCCACTAACTGCAGCCTCACTGGCCTCTCACTTTTACTTACTTTACTTTGTCTGACAGCAGTATGGCTCCTCCCCCTTCCTTTTAGGTAGCATTTATTTGTCTGATCTTTTCTTTCATTTTGAATGTAGATTTTACTTGGTGTTGTGTTTAAGATAGGTTCCCCATCAACAGCATATAGATTCCTAAAAAGCCAATCTAAGAAGTCCAAGTTTTATTAGAACACGTTAGTCTTATTTGTATGGTCACACACACACACACACACACACACACACACACACACACATTTTTAACACTTGTGCTTTTATTTGTCCTACTTGTTCCTTTTTCACTCCTTGTCTTCTTTTGGATTTTTTTTTTAAACATAGGTTTTTAAAAATTCAGTTCACACTTACACACAAATTCAGTTCACACTTACACACAAATTCAGTTCACTAGAAATTCTCTACTTAATTGGAAAATTGGTAGTGTATTTCTGTTAGTGGTTATCCTGGACATTTTAACACACACAGTTCTGATGATCTGGGGTCAAGCATCTCAGTTGCCTCCTCAGTTGGTGCAAAGATAGGCCAGCCGTGGTGCAGATGACCTCCTTCTGCCCCAGGAGCTCTCTCTGTGGGGTGTTGTGTGCTGTATGTGAGGTTCTGGGAGGTCTGCCCTGCTGACTTCCAGCTTCCTGCCTCTGAATCCACTTCTGGTCTGTCTTCCAAGTCACTGTGTCTCTTCCACCCATGGAGTTTTTCAGGTAAATTATCTGAGACTAAGTGTAGTGACAGCTCTCTAGCCTTGGACAAGTTGCCATTCTTAAACCCTTTCTCTGTGGCCTCCTGTGGGGATGGGCCAAGGCCACATGGGCCCTGGGAAGTGGACTAAGCTAGTGAGCTGCTGGGTCCCCAGGAGTCAGCTCTCATTTCTCAGAAATCTTGGCCATTCCTGTGGCCAGATCCCTGTACTGACTTAACTCTGACACCATCTAGATGAGGGAAGCTGGGGGCAGGTTGGTTGTGTGGGTGCTGGGGACCCACCAGAAGCAGGGGAGGGGGTTGGCTGGCTGTGAAGGGTGGAGAGGGACAGTGGCAGCTTGTCTTGTGTTCAAAGATCCCAATGAGCTCTGCCCTGGAAGCTGTCCTAGCCATCGGCCCCAGCCCAGCAGCCCCATTCTGGCTCAGGCAGGACACAGGTCACTACAACACTGCCTGCTGGTTCTCCTTGGCAGGCTTCTTCTTCATCCTCCAGAGTCTCACTGGCGCCACAGCTTCACACACCCCAGGCTACAGTGACTGTCCCCTCTCATGTCTTTCCTGAACTGTAGACCCATAGTCCAGCAGCCTTCGCCTGGGTTGTCCCTGACACACAGGTAGGCAGGTTGTTCCTTCCTATTACTCAAGCCAAAACCCTGGAGCAGCCTTTTCTTCATCCATCAGGAAGTCCCATGGGCTCTCCCCTCCCGGGACACCAGGACTGCCGTCTCTCAGGCTCCCTCACTCTGCCTGCCCTCAACTTCGGTCAGGCACAGTCAGGGCCAGGCATGAGGCTCAGCACACCTCTCTCCAGAGAGGTATCTCCTGGGATCATTTTGGGGTACAGGAACACTCGGCTCCTTGTCAAGGCTGTGCAAGGCTTTGTCCTGCAGACACTGTAGATACTTCTGGCCCAGAGAACCTGATGCCCCGTGGAGGCCATTCTTTTCCCTGTAGTGAGGCAGAGCACATCAGTGCTCATACCTGCGCGTTCCCATCCACTGGTCCCAGGAGAAGGGGTGGTTGGGTCTACACAGGGCTTAAAGTTATTTGCTAGTTTTGGGCTCACTATGTTCATGTTTACCGTTAAGCAAAACTGTAGTTTAAATATATATTACATATCCTTTGTCTAGATTAATCATTTTCTTTTTATGTTCCCAAGGTTAAAAGGATGGATGTGAACCAGAATAAAGCATGTATTTTTATGTGGCTATTTAAACATTTGTCCCGTTATAAAATGGCAAAAATATATTTCAGGATTAGCACTGAATTTTAAAAATACTTTAAAAGTGCACATTTACTGGTGATGTTTTCCAGTGCTATTGCTGATGAGAGAGGATTTGGGTCAGTGCCTGGCCTCACCCTTATCTAGGAAGCGTTAACTTTGTTATCAGTGGTGGTTTTGAATGTGTGAACATGTGTCCTTGTCTGAATGGGTTCAGTCTAAATTGAGAACTCATTGAGGACTTGCAGCCATAGGCCACTTGTTTTTCAGTGCATTGTGTAATCTGCTGCTTGGTGAGGGTTGAAGTCTCTCCCCTCCCCTTCCCTGCTGCTTCCCCTACCCTCTCCCTCATTAGGTTAGCTTGAAATTTTTCCTCATAAGCTTCTGATTTGGGAATAATTTTATATTTAAGGGGAAACTGCAGATATGGTAGAGTCTTTTGTATGCCTCATCTAGTTCCCCTGATGTCATTGTTCCCGTTGCCAATAGCCGTGAAGCTGAGGGCTTCAGCTGCCACTGGTTCCAGATTCAGCTTGTTCCCCGTTACTGTTACAGCACCCCCTTGACACCCCACTTTGCTTTTGACCAGCATGTCTCCTCCAATCTGGGGCTGTCTTTCAGGCTCCCCTGGTTTTTCAGGATCATGGCTTGGAGGAGGCTCACTGGTCTGAGCTCGCTGGTGCTGGCTTGGGGGATGGGCTTGGTCACCTGGCCTCCCCCAGTGTGGACCGGCTTCCTCCTCAGTTTACTTTTCTGCCCTTTCTTTTCCAGTCATACTGTTTAACTCATTTTTAAAACCCTCCTTTCCTGTTTGTAATTTTATGGTAAATCCTTGTTGAAAAATAACAACAGTTTGATCTTTTGATGTATTTTCTCCATTAAAAAATGGTCCTACTCTCCAGTGAAAACTGGAAGAATATAATAGAAAGGACCCCTGATGCCTAGAGGCCCTATTCCCAAGAATAGGACAGAGGAGAAATAAAAGAGTGAAGGAAAAGCTCCTCCAAGTGGCCTTTTCCTGACCCTATGTCTGCTGCAGGCCCCGTGACCATCCACACCCTGACCGGTCACTAGGGCACCTGCTGGCCTGGCTGCCCATCCAGGGTGTCCCTGAGGTACGGGCCTTCCCCCCTGCATCCCTAGAAGTACGGTATGTAGGGAGACAGTTGTGTCTCAGGTAAGTGAGCATTTGGCCTGTGTACATTAATCCCGAGCCCTTTGGTTGTTGTGAGTCTCTGTAAAATAATCTTGTTGATGGTGTAGAGACAAGGCTGGTGGTGGGGCCTGGAGGCCAAAGACCACAGGCCTTGAGTGAGCTTGAAGACAGGTTGTCCTGGACCCTTGGGCCATGGGTCCCTTTGGGAGGGTCTGGCATTTCTCATGTGCCAATAGGAGCTGACACCTGTGATCTCAGGGCTCTTCCCAGACTGGCTGGCAATCTGTGAGCTGCATCTCAGGAAGCATGGCCCCAGGAGCGGCTGCAGGGCACCTTGGGGAGCTGGGGCCGTCCTGGCAACCATGGCCCTCACAGGCATAGGTGCTGCAGAAGTGAGGGCTGGGATCCCTCCCAATCCCTGCCTGTGCTTGCCCTCCAGAGGTGCAGAGGGGTGTGCCGCTGTCCTCCTGTGGGAGTGGCTCCTCCGGTGGGGAGGGGATTGCACAGACACGTTGCTGGGGAGACAGGTGTGGAAACCAGGATGGGGGCCTCCCCAGAATCCTTGGGGAGAGGTGCTTCCCCCTTGTAGAGCCCCCCGTGGCATCTTTTAGCAATGCACCTTGCCTCACTCACATTTGAGGCCTTGGTTTCCCTCGAACGCATCCTGGCTGCCAGGACCACTTCAGGCAGCAGGAGCTGTGGGCAGTTGGCCCAGGCCACCAAAGGGCTTGAATTTCTCCAGCAGCCACCCCTGATGCCCACAGGGAGGTTTGGGCCCAGTGGGCTTGGTCATCTCGAGACAAGGTCTCCCTGTGCAGTTCAGGCTGGCCTTGAACTTGATATGTAGCCTAGGCTGGCCTTGAACTTGCAGTGCTCCTCCTTTCTCAGCCTTCTGAGTGCTGGGATCACAGGCATGCACCACCATGCCCAGCCTATCACAGGCATTCTTACATGTGACCTTCCCGACACTGTACCAGCTGTGTACAAGGAGGAGCCGCCATTGCGCTGTTGGCTGGCCTGCCTTGCTGAAGCTGCAGACAGCCATGCGCTCACCCCTGAGGCATCCTCTACTGCCTCTGAGTCTTGGCCCCCAGGCAGGTGGGCTGTTTCTGACTGCCACTGTCTTGCTGTGGAGCCGCTGGGTGCCTTACTCTAGAGCATATCCCTGGGTCTTGCTCTGTGGGAGGGCCCGTACCCTGTGGGCCCCTGCTGAGCTCCAGGGCTCGAGCCTTGGCCAGGGAGTTTCTAGGAATTGTTGTAAACCCTTGCTTTGGTTTCCTCCTGTTTTTCTGGATGACTTTCTTTTTCCGGAGGCCTTCTGGTTTCTCCCAAAGTTCCTGCCCCGAGGTATGTCCTTGAGGACCCCCACTGTCAGGCAAGCCAGTCAGCAGGGTTAAGTGAACAGCAGAGCAGAGTGGTGAGGCCTTCTGAACAAATGTGCTCCTTATTTTCTTCCAGAATCAAATTTGAACTGTTTCAGATGGAAATACTTGCTTATAGGACAAAGGGTTTTCCAAGTAACTTGGTTCCAGGGGTCCCAGTTCATCTCATGTATGTGTTCAAGCCAGTGATGTTGAAGTTTACAGGCCTTGGATTTAGTTGTGGTCCAGGAGAGAAAGGTTATGGGTACAGACATGGAGAATCAGTCCTGGACACCACCCAGCAAGCCTTTTTTGAGGGTAGGAGCCTGATTTTAGGGACTGAAATGTGTTCCCACTTCCCATGGCTGTGGCTTGTCTTGGGGAAAGAAAGCCCTAGGGAGGGTTAGATGGAAACCCTTTGTTCCCTGGCCCTCATTTGTAGGTGGAGAAACTGAGGTGGGGCACAGTCTAGGCTTGACCAGGAATTGGGGTGGAGGTTGGCTGGTCCCTGCACTGACTCTGGCCACTGACCATGCCCCCCTCTTTGCCTGCAGGTGTACATTGGCGAGCTGCCACAGGATTTCCTCCGCATCACCCCCACACAGCAGCAGCAGCAGGTCCAGCTGGATGCCCAGGCGGCACAGCAGCTGCAGTATGGAGGCTCAGTGGGCACTGTGGGCCGCCTCAGCATCACTGTGGTACAGGTGGGCGCAGGACGTTCCTTCTTGCTGGGGGGCTGGCGCAGGTGGAGAGTCTGGATTTTGGCCCTTTATAGCATTCCCCATGTGGACAAATGGAATTTTTCTGATTCTAGTGTTTGCCAAATCATATATCTGATGTTAAAAACCAACTTGTATGAAAAATGCAATTTCCCAGGATTCTGCCTGAAATAATTTAAAAATTACAATGAACATTGGTAGATAGCTACTCTGTACTGGGTACTGTTCCTCCCCAAGGGGAGTCTCACAGAGCTGAGAGGCTGACATTGCCCAGGGCCACACCAGCGTGTGCCCAGCAGTGACGTCTGCTCAGCTGCACAGTCCCATGCTGACCAGGTGCACCCACCCGTTACCAAGGGACTTGCCTATGAAAACCAAAACACATCAGCGTCAAGCTGATTGTGACCACCCAGAATGTCCTGGAAAGCTAGGGACTGGACATGTGAGGACTGGTGTGACTTTGTGGAAAGCCCTGGATGCAGTTGTCAGAGGTGTTGCCGTGGTGCTGAGGAACATGCAGCCTGCACCCTGCTCAGCTGCACTGGTCCCTGTGAGGGGTTTGTAGCCAGCCACCTTTCCTCGTGACTTTGCTCCAGGGCCTGGCAACACGTGTCTAAGGGAATGTGCTGTGTCCAGCTGCCCCACTGATGACCGGGTGCCTCCTGTGTGCTGTCACCTGGTGGGCCATGGTACAAGGGCTGGAGCTGGGCAGGCCTTGAGGTGTCCTCAAGCTGCCTGCTGCCTCTGGCCACCTTGTTCTTGTGGAGCTGTGGAGCCCACCACAGGCAGCCTGTCTGCCTGCACTCGAGCTCGCCCAGGTATGCTGGGGAGAGGCATCCTGGTCCTCACATGGCCTCTTGGTCACCTTGTCCACTGTCTCCCTGCTGCTTCCCTTTGGACAAACCTTCTCTTGGCTTCCAGGAGTCTGACTGCATGATACCCCTCAGCCTCCTGTGATTATCCTCTACCCTGAAGAGTACCCAGGAGCCTGGTTCTAGTCCCTGTTCCTGGCCACACACCCAGGGGAGTAGCCCTGCAGCCCCATGCACGTGACTACCCATGCATGAATCTGACCACAGCTGGACTGCTGGACACAGACGTGGTCCTCATGACCTCCAGATGTCCAGTGTCCAGCTCTCCTCTCTCCCTAGTCCCAGTAGGTGACAACTCCAGCCTTTGGGGGAGCTGAAACCCAAAGATACCAAAACTTCCATTTCTTGCCCCCCACCTCCTATCACTTGGCATGCGTGCGCATGCACACACACCCCCACCCACCCACCCCTGTACTGGAGTGTGGCTAGGGCAGTGTGGCTGTGTGCATGAAGGAAGACCCAGCAGGCTTGGCAGATGGTATGCATAGCGCAAGGGAAGGGGGACCGAGGCTCTGTTAGTGGTCCCTGGAGGGAGGATCCATCAGGGAATGAGTCACAGTCCAGCATGAGACACTCGGGAGAGGACACTTAGGCAAAGTGAGTGGAGATCGTGCTGTTGTAGACTCGAGACGGAGGCCCACATCAGAGCAGGGGTTGACCCAAGAGCTACGCTGCTGCCCACACACATAAGGCCCCAGTGGCTCCATGTTGCTGCACCTGGTTTGATCAGGTGTCATGTTGTTTTGTTGTGGCCATTCTGATAGGTGTGTGGGAGTCTCACTTGGAGTTGTGATTTGCATCTCTCTGGTGGCCAGTGACATCGGACACAACTTATTTCAGTTTTTTTTTTTTTGGTACTGGGGATCGAACTCGGCACCTTGCCCTTACAAGGCAGGTGCCGGAACCACTGAGCTAAATCCCAGGCCCTCACATGTTTTTGTTTGCTACATCTTCACCTCATTCACAAGGGTTCCTGGTTTTGCTCCCCGTGAGACAGTTCACAAGCAGGCTATCTGGTTTGGAGTCGGGTCTCAAGGTTCAGAGACCTGGGCCATGGGAAGATGGTATCCTGTCCCTCTGAGCTGCTGCTGACACTCCCACTCCTGAAGGGCAGTGTACCAGGAGCTGCAGGAGGCTGAAAGCTGGGGAGATGCCTCCAGGTCCTGGGGCTCTGGGGTGGCTGAGCCCTGGGGTATCCTCCCTTCTGCCTCCCCTCAGCTCAGCTGTGTACTGACAGATGTGGCCTCAGTGCTTTTTGCCAGAGTTGGAGTGGCTCTTTGCTCCTGGTATCCTGGGAAGCAAGTTAGTGCCACAGTCAGGTGAATTTGGGTGACTGAAGTTCTTGGTCCAGGAAATATGGCAGTGAGCAGCTGGAGGAGGCTGGCAGCTTAGAGAAGCACCTGCCTTTTCTTCTGGTGGACACTGCATCTTTTTGAACTTGGCTTTATTTCAGGCAAAGCTGGCAAAGAACTATGGCATGACACGCATGGACCCCTACTGCCGCTTGCGATTGGGCTATGCTGTGTATGAGACTCCCACAGCTCACAACGGTGCCAAGAACCCTCGCTGGAACAAAGTCATCCAATGCACAGTGCCCCCGGGTGTGGACTCGTTCTACCTGGAGATCTTCGATGAGGTGAGAAGCACCTTTCTCTCAAGGCTGCATGTGGCTCCGATGGGGCAAGGTGTGATGCGCCACATCATGAGGCCTGCCAGATACCAGCATTTTAGTGGCCAAGTGACAGGGTGCAGCTTCCCCTCAGAAACATCACCCGTGCCACAGTGCTGGGCACTCTAGACAAAGTAGCTAGTGTTTGTTCACAGATAGCTGAATTTCAAGGACGTCATGGGAATATTGTTATTGCTAGTGCACATCACAGGCACATAGCAGCCTTCATGCCACAGGTTTCAGGGCAAGGCGGGAGCCTGGAGACTGAGGCTCCCTCAAAACTTGATTTTGGTGGGCCAGGGATGTAGCTCAGTGGTGCCACCACCTGCCTTGCAAGTACAAGGTCCTGAGTTTGATCCTCGGTACCAAAAAAACCCCAAAACTCGATTCTGCGCACCAGGTACCTCCTGAGGCCAGGGCCAGACACAGCAAGCCTGAGAGTGAGAAGGGAGAGGGTGGCCTCAGCACTGGCCTCTGGCTTTTCCTGTCCCTTCCTCCCCTGTGCAGCTGGGGTCCTCAGGAGGGAAGAAGCTTGTGGGAAGCGGGTTGGGTCTGCAGCTGGCAGTCCCGTGTGTGCCTGCCTCCCTTTTGTGCCCACGGGCCATGCCTGGGTCTTGGAGGGTGCAGCAGCAGTCCTGGAGCTTCTCCCTTCTCATCCTAGGCCTGGGCTGTGCCAGGTGCTGACTCAGCAGCAGGGGCGGGGGTGGGCCGGAGCCCAGGCGGAGTGGGAATTCCTTTAAGGGGGCTGGGAGCCTCACGGGAGAAGGCCCATCACCACAGCCCCAGGGGAAGTGGCTGTCTCTGTGCTGTGATGCGCCTGCCTCTCTCTCACCCCCCCTCCCCCCCCCCCGCCCCCAGCGAGCCTTCTCCATGGACGACCGAATCGCCTGGACTCACATCACAATCCCCGAGTCCCTGAAACAGGGCCAGGTGGAAGACGAGTGGTACAGCCTGAGCGGGAGGCAGGGTGACGACAAGGAGGGCATGATCAACCTGGTCATGTCCTACACGGTGAGCACCGAGCCGGAGCAGCTCTGGGGGTGTCCGCCTGGGCCCTTTCCCGGGAGGCAGTGGCTAGCCATGAAGTGATGCATCATCTCGGTGGGGACCCAGGGTGGGCAGTGTGGGGTCCCTGCTCTGGGGGTCATGGAGCAGAGCCCAGTTCTGCTTGGCAGTCACCCATGGTGTCAGGCCTCCATCCTCAGAGCAGAGTGGCTCCGGGGACCTTCAGGGAAGTCACAAGACAGGCAAGTGGGGAGTCTCTCTTACGGTGTCAGACAGGAACTAAAGCTACATCTCTAGCCCTTTTTAATATTAGAGACAGGATCTCACTCAGTTGCCCAGGACAGCCTTGAACTTGTGATCCCCTGCCTCATCTTCCCAGGTAGCTGGGCTTACAGGTATACTGCACCCAGCCTACTGGGTCTTGGGTACCACCTTTTCTCTGCTGTCACTAACTTCTTACTGGGGAGCGCTTCCAGCCATGGGGGCTGTGGCAAACCCTGTGTGGACGGCTCCCTCTGCAGCAACACCCTCCTGAAGACTCATCTCCCTTAGCATGAGCATTCAGTTATCTTAGCACATGGCACAGAGCCACTGTCACACGTAGCCAGTCCACCTGTGACTAGAGCTTTGTGAGCTGACCCCTGGGCTGTGGTGGAAGCTGACATTTTTCTCTCAGGCACCAGACTCTGAAGCATCCCCACAGCACCCAGGCATCACCCTGTGTTCTCCCAGCCAGGGAGGTGGTGTTGGGTTTCAGTGGGGGCAGACGTGGGTGCGAGGGCTCTGTGCTCTGAGGGCCGTTTCGGTGAGGCTGGAGGTAAGATTTGGACCCCATGATCCTCTTGGTGTGTTTCAGTCTCTGCCTGCCGCCATGATGATGCCGCCCCAGCCCGTGGTCCTGATGCCAACTGTGTACCAGCAGGGCATTGGCTACGTGCCCATTGCAGGTGTGTCGCTGCTTCTCCCTTGGCAGAAGGCCTGGGGCAGAATGGGGGGTCAGGAAGGGTGGACTGGGCACAAAGATCCTTTTAAAAGCAGAGTCCAGGGTTTCAGGTGAAGTTCCCAGCATGTAGAAACCAGAATCTTTCCCTCATTATTGGCACATGCCAGAGGAGTGAAACTCATGGAGATGTGGAACACCGAACACGTGTGTGTGAGTCCTCGCATTAGGAGCCCGAGGTCCTGCAGGTGGAGCACACCGTGGCTTTTCAGGTCACACTTCCTGCCAGGATCTTGTACCTGCATGAAGCAGCCATTTGGGGCAGCACACACCATCGTGTTAGAACACAGCTTCTTATGCCTTTGCATCTTCAGATCTTCATGTTAACCTCTTGGTTACCTCACCTGTGTCTGGGGTGGCACCCCAAAGCCATACCGCTGGCCAGGTGTCATTTCCAGGTGTTACCCAGCAGGCAGGGTAGACTGTAGCCTCAAGAGTGGAGATGCCAGGGCTGGCCTGTGGCCACTGGTTCTCTGCTGCAGTCCAGGAAGCTGGGGTCCAAGGGAACAAAGCCACAGTCCAGGGCAGCAGGAGTGGCCAGAGCAGGAAGGTGTGGTCCTGGGCCTGTGGCCTCTGGTTGCTGGTGTTTGCAGCTGAGCAGTATGGAGCATCTAGGGTCCTGCAGCCAGGCAGAGAGTCTTGTCCATGCCCACAGTCACACCAGCATCCAGCTGGGCACAGAGAGGTCCAGGAGTCAGACCTGGCCTCAGACCTGGCCTCAGACCTGCCTGCACCCGGCTGAATCCAGCCCCAAGAGGGGGTAGCACTTGGGCACTCTGGTTGTGCATGCACTTGGAGGTTTCTGCTGAGCCAGAGCTGCTTGCAGGAACAAAGGGCATCACTTTCAGAGGGAAGGGGAGGCCCAGCGTCCATGGGAGACCCTGCAGTGCTGAGCGTGGTAGGAAACCACGCAGTTAACAGAATGACCCAAAACCTTAAAGCAGCGTGGTGTTCAGAGCTCAAGGAGAGATCCTTAGCAAAGGGAGAGCAGAGGGGTGGGGACTGCAGAGACCCAATAAGTGGCGACTGTCAGGCTCAGTGACAGGCTCCTGAGTAAGAGGAATGAGGAGGGAGGAAGAAACCACCCTGTCTGGGGCCAGGGCGAGGGCTTAAAACAGCAGACATCTGCTCTCCCCCATTGGGGAGGCCAGATGCCCAAAGCAGGAACAGCTGGGCTGTACTCCCTCCCGAGGCTTCGGTCATCCCCGCCCGCACCCCCAGCTCCCACGTGGGGCTCCAGGTGTTCCTTGGCTTGTGGCTACCTCACCCCAGCCTGTGGCTCGGTCCTCACACAGCGGCCTCCCCTCTCTGGGTCCCTGTCCTTCCGTCACTGCAGCCTCAGCCCAGCTCAGTGTACCTGTGGAGACCCTGCAGCGTTCATGGGCTCAGGGCTTGACACATCTGTGTGGGGGACGCAGTCCTGTCCCCTTCAGTTACCAACACCAGGGTGTATTTGGTTAATCAAAAGTTAGCTTCCAAAGAGATGAAAGTTACTGACATGTTTATCTTTTTCTGGATCCTGTCCTTCATTCTCTAAAAATGCTGTCTAAGTTTGACCTAAAATGCTTATTTGAGGAAAGGCTAGGTTTCTTTATAAACAGACTTTGAACGTTTCTTTTGATATACATTTTAAAATCTTAAAAGTCTCCTGCTTAAGGAAAAGGTACAGTAAAGAGCAAGAGTTTTCTGCCAGAACCTTGGGAGACTGTGGCCCCTGTAGGGGAGGATACTCCTCGGCCCAGTGCATGTGTGTGCACCAGTGTGCATGTGTTGCCGGTGCCCGGTGGCCCTCGCCTTGCTCTAGAGGGTGCATTCCAGGCCTGGCCCCAGGTCCATCTGTCCAAGCTGCTGCCCCTTTTCCATTGTCCTGGTGCTGACCTGGCTTCTGCCCAGGAAACTTAGCACTTTCGTCCCTGCCCTTGACTGCTTGTGTTTGTGTGGGGTGAGACGGTGACTCTGCACAGTGGTGGCTCATCCTTGAGTTTTCTTGGTGTCCACGTGAGGTTTTGCCTGTTTCTCACAGACTGAGCTGTCCACTGTGGGTGTCTCGGTGTAGGCTCACAGTTGGTTTAGTTCCCTGGGCTATAACCTGTTACCTTATTATTTATCTTGTCTCCCAGAGGAAGTCCAGGTGGGACTCACTGTCCCTTTGCCCTCTTGTCTCTTAGTGCATTTCCTGCTTCCGCCCTGGACTTAGCAGCTTCTTCCAGTACCCTGGGTCCTGGTAGTTAGTGGAGATTCAGTTCTAGAAGCCTCTGAACTGTTGTTTAGTGATCTTAGTAGTGTTTAGTGGCTTCCTTGAGAGTCAGGCCAGTTCTCCCAAGCCATACAAGTCCTGAATGTTTGCATTGGCAAATATTCATATATATATATATATTCATATATTCAAATATGTCCTTCCAGAGCACCAAAAGTCCAAAGCTTAAACTGATGTGAGCTCACACATTTTGTACTTCAGTCTCTTCTGCAGTGGAGCCCTCAGGCCCTTGGCTCTGGGGCCCTGTGCATGGTGACCGGCCAGGGCCAGCAATGATGAGGCCAGTGCCACAGGCCAAGGGTGGGCAGAGAGCGGTTGAGTCCCCAGCTGGTCGGCTGGGGCCCATCCACACCTGCCCTGTGCTGGGCAGTGGCTCGTCCCTCGCAGGCACTGGCCGCCTTGGTATCTGAGGAGCCCTGTCCTAGAAGCCCTAGGGCAGTGGTGGCAAACCTATGGCATGTGTGCCGCAGCTTGTTGTTTGTATCATTGAAAGCTCTAAAAGGTTTGCCGTCGTTGTCCTAGGGTGTCTGGACTCGGACAAGGCTGCTGCCACTACAGCAGTGCTTTCCAGTCTGTGACTTGGAGGCTGGAAGCCCGGGAGAGCCGGGACTCTTCCAAGATCCTTTCCTTTGTGTTTTCCCTGAGCTGTGGCCATCACCACAGGGTGAGGCTGGCTGGAGAACAGGACCTGGCAGGCAGAGCTTTCCTGCTGTCAGTTGCAGCCCTGGGTTGTGTTCATTTGCTTTGGTGTACTGGGGATTGAACTCAAGGCCTTTGCAAGGACCTGTATCCCCAGACCTTTTTTAAATCAGACAGGGTGTCCCTAAATTGCCAAGTTGCCTGGGCAGGGCTCACACTTGTGGTCCTCCTACCTAGCCTCCCAGAGTGCTGGGATTATAGCTGCACGCTGCCTTGCCTGGCGGCTTCTTTTCCCCACATGTGGATTATCAGATGCATGAGTTTTCATCGGATGTGGGTAGGTAGCTGACAGGCATCACATGGTTTCGGGGAGGGGCTTGACCCTGACTGGAGAAAGGGCTGACTGGTGATGGAAAGGTGTGTGGCTGGGCAGACTGTGTCGTTCTCCTTCTAGGGGACAGCTGGGTGGACTCGGCCTGCTGCTGCTTTCTAAATGTCCTAGAGGCGGGGTCCGTTGTGCGCTGCTTCTGCTGGTGGCCTGGGCAGAGCTGTGGGCTGAGGAGGTCAGGCCATAAGTGTGGGGCCAGGTCTGTGTGTGCCTGCTGGGAGCGGTGACCTTGCATCAGGGTGCAGGCCTCTGCAGAGGGCAGGCAGCATGCACCACACGCTGTCTCTTTTGGGGAAAATGACCTTGTTGATTTTCCTAATTCTCTGGCCTGCTATTTTGCTGCCTTTTTCCACACAGCAGGAAGAGAGTTGATTAAAAGGCTGATTCCCACTATCTGCCTAGCAGGGCCTCTGATAAACACTCCAGGTGAACTCAGCTCCTCCCGCTTGCTGGGGGCGGTAGCTCCTCCCGCTGTGGCCACAAGTGAAGGTTTCTGTCTGTGCCCTCCCACCTTTCCATCCTCACAGCTGGTGTCATAGCCCCCTTGGGCATGTACAGTGCTAAAGGAGGCAGTGAGTGCGCTGAGAAACCATGGACGCAAAGCTAAGCGTGCATCCACAGAGTCCTCTCCCTGTCCTGTTATGGGTCAGGAAGGAGCAGTAGAAGAGGCTGCATTGTGGCAGTTTCCACGCATGTAAATGGCCAGCGTCAAAACCACTTTCATGCCTCCATGGGCGGCGTGTCACCATGTCCCTCGCAAGGAGAAATCACAGCCAGTGAATTTGAAAGTAAACTGCACACACTGTTCATAACATGGAAATGTTTTGATTTAGGGTGGGAATTTAGTTCGTATTAACTTCCCAAACTGTTGCTTAGAGTTCTTTCCCTCATAGGTACCATGCATTACGAATCCACAGTCGGAGCACTCTGAAATGCAGCATAGTGAGGTCGTTTTCTCCTTGTGGCACACGCATAAAGCCACCCTGCACCTGGCTCTGCAGGCTTCCTTCTGGGTACAGGAGGCTCCTTCCTAAGAGGACCTTGGCTGTCAGGGTCCTGCACGGTGTGTGACTAGGCAGTGGCCACCAGGTTGCAGGAGTCCCGTGTGACGTGCACTGCTATCCCCTTGCTCGTGCTGGTGTGGCCTGTGCTGTGGTGGGAAGGTGGTCTCTTCCCACTTTGATCTGGGCAGCATTCTGTCCATGAGTGGACACCGAGAGTCCTCTATTTGTGTCTGTGCACGTGGGCAGGGGTGGCAGGGTGACATTGTGGGCACCATGGGCTCTGGTTCACTGTCTCCCATGGTTTCTTCCCTACATTGGCCCAAGCCCCAGGGGACCTCATTTGAGTCCCACCGAGGCTGCAGGCCCTCATCCATCCCTGCCTCCTGTGTCCCCAGCTGTACATGTCCCACGGCTCACCCAGGGTTTGATGAATGATTGCACATTCAGTTGTGGTGACAGTCAGGCCCAGGTCAGGAGTGTGCGTCCCCCGTATACGCAGTGGCCCAGGCCCTGAGGTCTGTGAGGATGGGTGACAGCAGAAGATGTCTCACCCTCCCTCCTTCCTTGCCTGGTGTCTTAGTCACTTTTCCTATTGCTGGGACAAAATCCTCCAAACCCAAAGTTAAGGCAGGAAAGGTTTACTTTGGCTCACAGTTTGTAGAGGTTTCAGTGCATAGTCTCCTGGCTCCAAGGCAGGGTGGCACAGCAGGAGGAGCATGGCAAAGGAGAAACAAGCAGGAGACAGTGAAGCAGCAAACCAGCCTCATCCAGGTTACCACCCTTTGGGCAGTGCCACCCTGTTACGGTTTGTGTCTAGATGTCCCCCTAAAGCCTCGTGGTCATGGGCTATTTTGGAGGTGGCTGAATCTAGTGTTTGATTGATTCATGGTGAGACTAGGCCCGAGGGCACTAGGATTAAGGGCTTGAGTGATACTTGCCCTAAGAGGTCTGAATAAAATAAAAGAGACAGAAAGATGCTGTGAAGGTCTCTTGTTGCTTTTGCTACCGGGTGGGCTCCATGAACTGTTTCTTTTCTGGAAGTCCTGTCTGCCACACCACCCTGCCTTGGAGCCAGCTGATTATGGACTGAAAGCTCTACAACTGTGAGCCAAATAAACCTTTTCCCCTTTAACTATGGGTGTCCGATATTTTGATCTCAGCAATGAGAGAGAAGTAAGACACACCCACACCCAGGGTGGAGCACTCTTAATCCCAGCGTCATACCTTAGATTCAGCCACCTCTGAAAAGCCCCACCTGTGAATGCATGAGGCTTCAGGAGATGTCTAGATATAAACCACAGCACCTCCCCAGGCTGGTGAATACTGGGGAGAGAGCAGGCTGGCTGCACTGGCACGCGTTTCCTGACACCTTTGTGTGGATACAGCACCATGTCCCTGTGTGAGGCTGCCTAGGTCCCTCTGGAACAGGCTGCTGCCCCAGACCTGGGCCAGGCCAGGTAGCACCCTGGCTGTTGTCCTCTGTGAAAGTGGCCTGTTCTCCCCACCTGACCCTGCTATGGTTTCCCTTCTCCTTGACAGTGCCACAACCTGCACCTGTGAAGTTGGGCGACAGCCCGTCTGAGGTTGGCCAGACAGGTGTCAGGAGCACAGCCAAGTGTTTAGTGGAGGCTGGGCCTGGAGGGCTGGAAATGCTGGCTTTCTGCCCCTTTCTGCTGGGGCAGTCACCTCCACGTCAGTTAGGGCTCTTGATGCTCTGGTTCAGCTGGTGTTGCAGACAGCATTCAGCTGCATTTACGATCTTCTGAATGACATGGGGAAAGAAAAGCCATGTCCCAAAGTGATGACTCTGCCTCACTCCGGTGGGCCTACTTGGGAGGATTGTTCATGCTTTAAAGATTAAAGAAGTAAGGGCATCGTAAGCCCTTGTAGCCCTTTAGAGAGGAATGTGCATGGGAATTCTATGACCTGTGGTCATTCAGTGTCACTAGCACCTCCTGTCCCCAGCCTGCCTGTGTCTCCAGCCTGAGGGGCATGTAGGTTCCACAGGTCTAACCTTTGAGTCCCCTCTGTGGACTCCACCTTCACTCTGTCTCCTCTGCCCTGTGATTGTAAAATAGGCTCAAGTGAGGTTTGAAAGACCTGACTTGCATTTGGGACAGAGAAAGGAATTCAGAGAGGGCATCACATGTGGAGGAGCCCAGCCTCACCTGCCCCTGGTGGGTGTTGGAGGCTGCCAGCCTCGTGTCCCTCAGGGTCCCTGTCTTGTGAGGCTTCGGATGGCCTCTGTCCTCGAGGCTGCAAAAGTGTCATTCCTTCCTGCAGCTCAAGCCAGCCTGCACTTGGTGTCACTGTTTTCACCAGACTCCCTCTTTTGTTTCCAGGGATGCCTGCCGTCTGCAGCCCTGGCATGGTGCCTGTGGCAATGCCCCCACCAGCTGTGACCACACAGCCCCGCTGTACGGAGGAGGACCTGAAGGCCATCCAGGACATGTTCCCCAACATGGACAAGGAGGTGATCCGCTCCGTGCTGGAAGCCCAGAGAGGGAACAGGGATGCCGCCATCAACTCCCTGCTGCAAATGGGCGAAGAGTCCTAGACCTGCTTGTTGCCCTTGGACTGGCCACCCCGGGCTCCTCGGGGTCATCGTCCCAACAAGATTCCTACGAACCATCACCTGTACCCTCTTCCTCAGACACCTGTGCGCCCCTCCCCACCTGTTCTCGGGATGCATGTGGTCTCAGTTTGAGGCAGCCCTCGTGGCCAGTGGTGGGGTGGGACAGCTCCCTCCTTGTCTTGGGTGGGATGATGGTGGTATGGCCATATCACCACACAGACCCACTCACCTGTTGCTGGGGATACGCATCTCTCCTCTCATACTGTCCTGGAAAGCATTCTTGTAGAAAGCTGCTGCCTCTGCTAGGGCAATAGAAGCAGTCGAGCATCTTTCTGAGCTGTTGAGTGGCACAGAGTCACTCAGCCTATTTGGGGTGGACCTAGTAGCTTACAGCACACAGATCCACGTGCATTGGCTAATGGGTCGCATTCACAGATCTCAAGCTGAGCATTCATATCCTTCCCTGACACTCTTTACAGCGTGGGCCTCTTGCCTGGTTTTCCTGTCCACGTAGCTGGCCAGGCTCTGTCTTGCCCTGGCTGCATAGGCTCGCTGTCTCCTGCTGACCATGCCGGCTCTACAGGCCTTCTTCCAGCTTCTCTTCCTGAGAGGGCCTCGGGGTGGCGCTGTTTACAGACGGTGTTGAGACACCGGCCATGCTGTGCACCAGTGCTGTTGTCAAGCTGGGGGACTGAACAGAAACCCGGTGAATGGTCATATTGGGAACCTTTCTGAGGCAGAGCTGCCTACACTTGGCTGGCTGGTCGCTGCTGTCATCTCTTGGGCTGCAGACTAGATTTAGGGCCATATGGGCTACACTGTGTTGAAAGACTCAGAGCCTTGCAAGGCTCCTCGGAGATGCACTTTCAGCAGGACGCACACGTTGGGAAGCCCGTGCACCCTGGCATGTCTCGGTGTGTAATTCCACGTTGAGTTGCAGGTGCTTTTCATTCTTGCGAGTGTTTGTACCCAGCCTCTGACATGAGAGCCTGCTCACACGGGCACAACGGTCAGCCCTAACTGTGGACTTTTTTGAACCACTGAGATTGAGGAAGTTAGTGCAGTGCTTAAATTCCAGTCGCCATCCCCCCCCCGCCCCCGGTCTAAAAAGATAGGGTAAAATTTAATGTCAGCTACAAAATAAGCTTTCTACCACTGATTGGGGGTGGGGGTTGTCAAATATATTGTTCATAAATATTTATTTTTGTAAACTGAAGAAGAATGGAGCAGTGGTACAGGTGGCACGGTGGCACTGAGGGCTTTGCTTTAGCTGGGAACCCTTACAGCTTTTAATCTCGTAGTGGAAAAGAAAGACAATGTTTGTTAAGTAGAGTTGACCACTCACTGGGACAAGCCCGTCCCTGGAAGTTTTCATTCCACGCTGCTGTGTGGCCTTGTGCCTGTAGCAGGCCCTGCCCTTGGAGACAGGTTTGTTGGCAGAATGGGACCTTCCCCAAGGGGGTTCTGTTAGTGCCATCAGCAGACTCGGCCCAGGACAGCACAAACCTGCAGCGCCTGCTTCTGGGCCCAGTTGAGGCTGCAGGTGCCTGGCCTCTGCCTTAATGTTGCTGAGGTGCCAACACTGCCACCCTGCTTGCAAGTGGTTCTGTGGAGTCCATCCTGGAGAAGGTTGGCGCCTGGAGCAGCTGCCGTGGCCCAGGGAGGCAGCGTTCATGTCAGGGAGCCATAGTTTCCAGATGAGTCTGAACATACTGCAGTCTCTTTCCTTTTTCCTGAACACTGTATTTTTTTAATAGATCAAAGATAGATCACATTTTATAAGACCTTTCGTCAGTAAGATCCTACGTCCCTTCGTTGTGTGCTGCTTCCTGTTTGAAGCTTGTCATGTCGCAGCCTGTCTAGTGCAGTGGCAGGGGGCAAGGCTTCAGTGCCTGCTCAGGAGCCTGAGCGTCAGCATGATCCATTCAGCCACTGTCACGTCCTGTGTCCAGTTTGATCACCGTCGGGAGGAGTGGTTTGTCCCCTGCTCATAGACAAAGGCCACAGTGGGTTGGGGCGGACGTAGACGGGGCTGGGACCTTTCTGGGTCTTGCTGCTGCTCCTACCCATCTACCTACAGATTCGAGTTGCTAGCAAAGCCACAGGGATGGACGGGGGAACATCCTGCCTGGGGCAGGCGTCAGGGCAGGGCTTGGGCTGTTTTCTTGAGGTAGGTGATGGTTGGACTCGGAGCCCCCGTGGCCTCCAGCTCTGTCTCACCCTGTGAGTGATGAGTGTATCCGAGACGGGAGAAGTGTTTCTCGTGGTTTTGTTCTGCCCTTCCCCTCTCCAGACTGCCTCTTTCTCTTAGCGACACTTTGGCATTTGCTGGTACACATGAGATGGGTGTTGGTGGGAATGAGTCTCAACTTTTGTGTTCCTGGTGGTTATGTTCAGAGCGGGTCTGTGTCCAGGTTTTTCTTTGATTGTAAAATACATTTCTACTTTTCAGCCTTCTAATTTAATAAGTGGCCCATATAAAAATAGAGAAATAAAGTCCCCTAAGGGAAAGTTTACCATTCTTGTACTGGAGTGTTTTGTAACAGCTCACAGCATTCAGGAGTGACTTGCCGGTTAGAATCGCAGGTTCACTCATTCACGCTCGTTCCAGGACTGCGTGAATGAAGACAGTGTGAGTGGGAGCAGAGGCTGGGGTCTGAGCATGCAGCACGGGCTGCTGTCTCCCAGGAGATCTGGGAGAGGATTCTGCCCCAGTTCCGCGGTGGTGGTTGTGGCTCCTCAGCGAGCATCTTCGTGTTACTTTGTTCTTACACCTGTAAGTTCTCCTCCAGGCGACCTGGAGTTAGACACGTGGGTGTGCCCTGTGCCTGCCCACTGCACTCAGCAGCAGCCCACCATGCGCCGCTGCACACCCGCAGGGCAGGTAGGGCTAATAGCTCGTTGGTCACAGTGTGGGTGCTCTGTCCTCGCAGCCAGCAGTCATTGTGTGCAGCGGGCGCAGCTGGCATGGCTTTGTCCACCCAGTGCTCACCTCCCCTTGAAGCAGGCAGGGGGCCGCCCTGGGCAGTGGGTGCCACTGTCGTGCTGACTGGGCCTCATCCTGAATGTAGGGCTCCTGCTAAGCTTGTGATCTGCCAGCCGTTAACCTGCCACACCATGAGTGTCTTCTGCCCAAAGCAGCTGACAGCTGAGTTGGTGTTGGAGTTGGGCACGCTGCAGAGAAGCAAGCAACGCTCTTAAGAAGCTCCACTAGGACCAGGCCTCGAATGTGTTGGGGCGAAGACACAAATAGTCTTCCTTTATGTGCAGAGATGCACCCATGAGAAAGTGAAGGAAGTCCCCAAGGTTTGGGGATTGTGTGGGATGTCGGTGGCTGGGAGAGGACTTAGCATTTGTGGGTGGATGTAGAAGTATGAAGCCCTGGGTGCTAGTTGTGGCAAGCCCAGAGCTCCATCAGCTGGGACAGGGCCTGGGTGTAAGACCATGACCCTGTCAAGCTAGGGGTCAGAGGGGCAGTGCCTTCATCATAGGTGAAGCTAGGAAAGAATCCACTCCTGGACCAGGGACTGAAGCAGTGGGGGCTGCCTGAGCTGCCAGAGGGGCTTTGGTCCGAGAAACCTCAACTGTGTTCCTGTGGGAGGATGGGGTAGCTGACATCTCAGGATTCCAGTGCAGATGGAAACCGCCACCTGCTGGCGACCAAAGGCACTGGAAACCAGCTGTCCGCAAGGGCTGTGAGATCCCACATGGCGGGACTCCCCGGAATGAGGTGTGCTGGACTTCAGGTGCTTTAAAAACAGACTAAACTACAGGGCAAGCAAAGAGCAAGACATTAAAGTGCTCACATGGCATTGGAACAAACAAAAGGTTTAGAAATGAGAAACACAGGCAGCTGGAATGAACATCACAGACAAGTTCATGAGCAGGTTGGGCGGCCAAGAAAGACAGGGCTGGAGAGATTGCCCAGGAAACAGCGGGCGGAGCAAGGGAGTCGAAACAGGTCAGGGCTCTGTGGACTGCAGCCTGGAGAGGAGAGTGGCTGAGAACACGCAGGACTGGTGGGATTCAAGAGCTGTCTGAAGCTCAGGGGGCGTGAGGTAGATCTGTACTGAATGCAGGGTGAAATAATTTTACCACTGGGACAGCAGTAACGGGGAAGATGAGGACCAGCATTGCAGTGAAGGAGGGTCTCCCCTGCCTTAAAGGAAGGAGGAGACCATTAACTTCCATCTTCGTGAGGCTGCATGTTAGTATTTCCAGAGCAACATCGAAACTGGAGCCCCATCCCACACCCAGTCAGGCTGCGGGGGCACTGTGAGCCACTGTAATCTTTCTGGGCTTTGCCGGCCCAGAAGGGTGAATTAAACGAGGCTTGAGGGCCTCTGCTTCTGAACTTCCCGTCCTCAGAGTGGCCCCACTCCGAGCTCCTGGCTCCAGCTCCTGGCACTCTGGGTTCTTCTGGGCTCTTGACTTAGGGCTCTGGGCCTTCAGGTTTCTGCTCTCAGGTCTGGGCTCTCAACAATCCACTCCAGACATGGGGTGGGTTTGCTTTACCAGATTCAGGCCCCCTGGGCTTTCCTGCTGTAACAGCTCTTCCTGAACGGTCTGGCCAGCCGCTGGGTTGACACCAAGGGCGAGCATCCATGCAGCCAGGCAGGATGACCAGAGGGTGCATCATGAGTGGATGGAGAGGGCCCACAGCCTGCCTTTAGGGCTCAGGGTGGTGCCACTCCAGATTGGTGACGGCTCTGTGTCGGCACCATGAGGGGCTACGGTCTCCCGTGTGTGCGGAGCAGATGTCACAGAGTCCTTGGGAGGCCCAGCTGGGGTCCCTGCACCTGTGAGGCCCTTTCCCAGGGAACCCAGCTGGCCTGGAGCTGGTGGCCTAGAGCAGGGTACCCTCCCCTCATGCTGTTATGTGGCCCTAGGGACTCTGGCCAGGACCTGTCCCCATGGACACTGCCAGTAAGGGCCCAGCCATTCAGAGCTTACTTATCTTGGGACTCTGGCCCGAGGTACTCCATCTCCCTCTGCCACCCCAGGTCCTGTGGTCCCTGCTGCTGGGGAGGGAGGCTGATTTCATGACAGATCTTCTGTCTCAGCCCCATGGTACAGAGGACGGCTCCTCCCGAGGCCCCTCCCCTGCACATTCCCGTGTCCTTCGTGGGCAGTGTGTCCTCCAGGCCCCAGCACGGTTCCTTTGCTCGCCATCCACGAGGGTTGTTCTGTGGTCTTTACCCCCAGAGCTGGTGCATGCCAGAGTCAGCTCCAGGGTTTGTGGCTGCCAGCCCAGCAGCCTCCACCCCAGCTGTGACCTTGGCAGGTCCGGATTCACCACCCTCACTGCACAGGTCCCCTTCCTCCAGGTGCTGGTGAGGAAGAAGCGGGGCAGGGCCTCCCTCAGAGGCAGTGGGGAGCTGCTCTCCTCCAGCAGCAGGGAGTGGGCTGTGCCCATAGTCTGTGCAGATCTGGGGAGTCTGAGTTTTTAGGGGCATCTTCGTGACATTCCCAGGCAGGTCTCCGGGTCCCCTCCTTCCCACCAGGGCCCTGCATCAGCAGAGGAGGCCCACAGAGGCACCACCTACCCAGCTTCTGCGCTCGAGTTCCCAGGCCCTCTGGCTGAGGAGATGGCAGTGTCCTTAGGCCCCAGGGCGGCCTCTGACTCTCCCACGGCCTGCTCCTGTGCTCCTCCTGCTGCGTGGTGCTGCTGCACGCTGCACCCCGCTGCACCCCGCCCTGGCTCTGCAGGGACAGTGCTGGTCTCAGGAGCTCAGGACAGCAGCGGGAGGCCATCCAGGTGGGAAGGGACCCGAATCCAGCCCCATGTCCTCTGCCCCAGGTCCCCCAGGTCTGGATCCTGATCCCAGGAACAGACCCAAAATAGGACCCTGCGCTTCCTGGCGAGCATGACCCCAGGAGAGAAAGCCAAACGCAGCAGAGTGAGTGAGGACCTCCGGCAGGGTGCAGTTCCAGTCAGGCCTGCCTGGCCAGGTCACGAGCGTGCTGTGTGCTCAAGAGACAGTGGGACCAAGGGCCAGCTGCTGGCACAGGGCTCTGACTTCCTGTTGGTTTTGTTTTTAAACTATTAAGTTTTGTTTTGTTTTGTTTTTTAAATAAAGGAAGATGGTTTATTTGGAAGCGTGAAAAACAGAGAAGAAAGCTACTCTGGAAGAGTAGGAAACGTCATAAAGCAAAGGCCCTCGTTTTTGTTTTACATACTGTATATATTATTTTATATTTTTATATATTAAAATATTTTGTGGTTAAAGTCAAAATACAAAAAGCTAAATTCACAGAACCAAGTTCTCTCCTGGTCCCTCCTCCCAGTGCGTCCCTCACCATGGGCAACCGTTTTCATGTTTCTGGCCTGTGCCCCCGTGTGACACGCACACCCCCGGGCGGCCCCCTGGCCGTCCTCTGAGCAGCCGAGCCACATGGCCATGCTCCTGGGTCACACTTGAAACCTGTCCTGGACAAGCCTGCTGCTCCTCCCAGCTGCCAGCTGTCCCACCGTGTGTCTCCCCGGGGACGTTTGGTTGTTCCGGCTGTGGCTGTGGCAGGTCCCGTACATCTTTGGGACCTATCCCTGGACCCGGGGCTCCTGAGCCCAGGGTGGAACTGTGCTTTTCAGGTCTCCAGATCCCCTCTGGTCCGTGCCTGCCAGAGCGCCATCCAGCACAGCTGCCACTGGGACCTCCCTTCTGGGAGCAAGGTGGAGCGTATTTCCACGTGTTCGGGGCACTGCCTCCCCTTCTTACAGTCTCTTCCTGTCTGGACGTGTTCTCCCTGGGACCACTGGCCTGTCTTTAGTGGCCGTTGGAGGCCTTAACTGATACACACCGCAGGTACGTCCCTGTCTGCTGTTGGCCTTTCTGTGATACTCTTGATTTTATTTCATGTAAAATTTTTCTCTTTTAAAAATGTTGTCACATCCCTTATAGTTGCTGGATTTTAATTCATAATTAGGAAAGCACTTTAACCTCTTTCTTTGCCTTTCAGTCCCTGAGCCCAGCAGGGGACTGAAGGAGGGGCTGGTCTTCGGCTCCAGAGCAGAGCCCTGCTCAGTGCACACGAGGCCCAGGCTTCTGTCCCAGCACTGAAAACCAGCCTGAGACCTGCAGGTTGCATCCGAGTCGCCCTTCTGTGGGGCTGCCCAGTTGTCACTCTCCTCCCTGTCCCGGCCGGCCACCACCAACCTGCACTGCGTCCCTTAGCCCGGGTCCTGCGCTTCCTCCCCAGCTACCTTTCTGTTCACACTCGGGGCAGGGCTGGGCCACACCATCCCTGTTCTCTGGCGTTTTTCTGTCTATTCTTGTTGGAACTCAAAGGAACTTTACAGTTTGTTTAGCTCAAGAAAAAAAGGGCGATAGTATTTTTGTTTTGTTTTTGCAGTACTAGGGATTGAACCCAGTATCTTTGACCTGAGCTGTATCTCCAACTCCCATTTTTAAAGTTTTAAATTTTGAGACAGAATCTTGGTAAATTGCTCAGGCTAAACTTGACCTTTTGGTCCTTCTGCTTCAGCCTCCCAGAATGCTGGGTTACAGGTATGTGC